AGCAATGCATTTGAGCAAATAAAAATGGAAGAAAGAGTGATAACTGTCAAACAAAACTACAGGATTGTGCCCAGAAGTTCAACACGTCATCAGTGAAGACACAGATGTATAGTTCTCTAGGTCCCTATTAGCATCCAGTCATACCTGTGTAATGATTTTTTCCATCTCAGATGTATTCATATCAGGCAGAGTGTTTTTAAGAAACTCGACAATACTTTCAAAGTTTTCACATTCCATTATCAGTGCCTCTTGGCTGCTGAGCAGGCTAAGTGCAACCTTAAATATAACTTCAGTTCCTTGAAGACAAATTATATCTGAAAAAAAGATCATTTTGATGGTCAAAATTATGTAAGCATTGTGAAATGTATGCTCTTTGTGCACGTTGTTTTGTTTTCAATGAGTTCAGCTGGACCAGAGACTATTTTGCCCCAAAATTGACCAAAACCACTTAGATAGTAAAAAAAAAGTTTAACAGGACTGAAACAAATGTTTGCATATTTCTCTTGTGTATTTAACAATCTCAATTAAAGTCAGAGCAGAAGAGAAAAAAGGACAAATTATATACATGATTGTTTATATATTGATCTAGAATTTGTAATGGCAAAGTTCATGGAGATGGTACAATTGATGTTTGGAGATACTTATTCAAATGCTGCTTAGGTATTTCTTCCCAACGGAAATACAAAAACAAATCAACATAACCAATCAGTACTATTTAAACTCTAATTATCATAATGAAAAAATAAATGAACCAGTTAATAGGTAATTAAACCTAAACTGGAGCAGGAAATTGAAAAGGGAAAAAACACTTTAAAAGGAAGCATCTATAACACCAGTCAGAAAGGCACACTGCTAGCTAACAAAAACAAGCAGACTGTGCTTTGAAAAGCGCCAATTACTTTTCTATGAAGACCTCGCTCATTCTTTAGTCAGTCATAGACTACAGGAAGTCTTTTTAAGAGCAAACTGCAAAATAATTCGTTTAAATGTGGTAATTCTGCTTACTCATGCATTTCTTCTTTCCTGACAGTCTCTTCTTTTCCAGTTGAAAAAAGAAAAGGATTGAGCAGGTATTTAAAGCTGAC